GAGTTCTTATCATAAAAGGGTGCTGAATCCTGGTCGACTAGTATCTTCTGTAAAGAAAGGTATTAGGAAATACACAAGAGAAATGAGATAGCAAATTTCTTTGCTTGGATACTTACAAGTTTTAAATTCCGTTTTGCCCAAGTTTGCCATAAGAACATACCGGTCTAAGATTCCTGAATCATAAGCAAAGAAATACCATTTTTCTACTTTGTGGAAGGTAAAAACACAAGGATGTCTTATTGACAAGAAGAAAAACAAAGTCTGAAAGGGCTCCCAAAACTAATTAAAGAACTGATATTTGTTTTCCCAAACAGATCCCAGAATAACTTAATTGTAAGTATTTAGCCACTTAATCTTAATCTCCTCTGTTTTCATAAAACTCTCTATGATACCAGTGAGGAATGAACTCTTCTGAACCACTTTTGTTGTTAGACAGATGGTGTATGTGAATTTACAGGAAGCAACAGACAATTTTTTTTATCCACTCCTTATCAAGTAATGGCCTAAAAAGGAGTGGTTAGGCAGGGAGGGATACCTTTCATTTTTACATTTAAGTTTCTCTTGCCAGCATCATTAAAAAGACCAGAATAAGTTATATAGATATATCTTAACAACTCAAAAGCAGAATTTTTTAAAACCTTAAATTGTGTAATTATCTTAAAAAGGAAAAAAAAGTTCACAAAATGATTAACACAAAAACCAACTCACCAATGATGCCACTATCTCTGCTTTCAAGTGTGGATGTTGGACTAGTAACAGGCCCATAGCTGCAATCCTTGGCAGCTGCATTTGTACTGACTGGTGGGAGGGTAGAGCAGGGGCTACTGGCTGGTGGAGAAGCAGTGCTGCTAGTCAGGGTGGAGCAGGGACTTATCCGCTGGGTGATTGCTGAGGTCTGAAAAATTGGAATCATGAATAACATAAACTGACCAGTTGTTAAAGTAAAGTATATCTTAAGGTAAAACAAATGCCTTGATGAAAAAAGAAGAAATAATCTACATGCACAGCTTTTACATTTATTAGGCTCTATTCAGTTTTGCTTTCCAGAATAAGAGATTTTGGGTTCTACAATTAAGGTGAAACTCGATGAATTTAACGTTAGCAGAGACTACGCCCAGTTTTTCTGCCTAGGGAATTTCCAGTAACAAGTATTCTATCATTGCCATTCATTAATAGAATAGAGAATTTTTTTTATTAAGCACAAGTTTTCCTCGCAATCAATAAAACTTTTCAGAAGGCTTGAAGTTTGTCTTGTTGATAATTTTCTTTAGACAGAGGAAAAAAAAATCTCTTCAGCTGAGGTTAAATAAAGTTCTTAATGCAAAGAAGTGTCTTTTTGATACATGGCAGCTGCCCAGAGACAATAAATAAAAGCAAGGAAAAATACCTTATTCTAAAAGTTTGTCTAATAAAATAGATTGAACAATATTAATGTAATACAAAATTATATAATTTCTCTGTAGAAGCCGAACAGTCTGAGATCACTTACCTCTTTTGTAAGTTTTGATGCAAAGGAATGAATAATTTATCAAACAGGTTGGTGGTAACATATGCCGGTTTACCTACTTTAATGATGATTCCTTTTTCTTCAGTTTTCTACCCAAATAAATTACTGAAACAATGAATAAAAGTATATATTTTTCAAACACCAAAAAAATTTTATCCTTTTTAAAATGCTAAGTGATCAGTGTCAAAAGTACTTGAAGTAACGCTAATGATAAATTT